ACACAGCAGAGGAGTAGTGGGGAGCCAGGCCTCACCTGATTCCTGGAGCAGTCGAAGGGCACGGTTCTCAGAGAAGGATGCCATCTCGTAGAAGGCCTGTCCAGGGGTACCAGGACTGGAGAAGCCCCCAAAGTGGACACTCTTGCAGTAAATGACCATGTCAGAGAGCTCCTGTGCTAGCCTGAGCTTGTCCTCCTGGGGGCCACGGGAAGGCCCAGGTTAGATTCAGTGGTTGGGGCAGGGTAGGCACTGAGAAAGCCAGAAACCCAGGCACGGAGAGATAGGAGACAGACAGAGAGAGCGGGGCAGAGGGTCTGAATGGCAGCCACAGAGAACTGAGACAAGGCAGACCTCCCAGGGTTGAGGGGATGGGGAAGGCCCGGGCTGCCCCACCCCACAGCTCCCCCTCAAACCTTGGGCTTGTGCTGCACGCGGCTCCTCACTGCCTCATCCTCCATCTCAGCAGCCTCATCTTCGTCTGACACCACAGTGGCCTCAGGGCCATCCTCCCCTCCAGGAGGCAGAAGCCCCCCGAGCTTCTTCCCCTTCAGCAGGATCTTCCCCTTCAGTTGCTAGGGGTGGAGGGGCAACTGGTCAAGACACACCTAGCCTCCCGGCCAGGCTCCCCACCCTCCCCCTGGGATCCCATATCCCCACCACACACCTCAGGGGAGGGCAGGCTGTTGGTGACCCCATCCAGCTGCTGGTTCAACAGCATGGGGCCCAGGATGGCTTGCAGGTGCCGCGCCATCACGCGCTGCTGCTCCAGGGCGCAGTGGTTCTCCAGGGACAGGATGACGGGGTAGGGGGATGCCTGGAGGCCCAAGGGCACATTAGGAGTGGTGGGCCACCCTAGCATCCCACTCCTCACCTGCCAGGGGCACGCCCACCTTGAAGGCGTAGTCCCGGATGGCCCTGAGCACATCGCAGAAGAGGATCTTGGAAGTGAAAGTATAGCCGTGGTAGATGATTGGTTCCTGGTTGGGTCCGTCCCAGCAGTCGAGCTCTAGGCAGCGGCAGCCTTTGCACAGTGCCCTGAGGGGAGGGTGGCAGCTAGGACCCTCCAAGTCCCGTCCTGGGTCCCACCCAGATTCCCGCCCCAAGGCTTCCCTGGACAGCACCGGATGTAGGCCTCAGTGCTGCTGGGCCCTGCGAGCTGGTCCTCCAGCAGGTAGGTGTTGTGCGAAGAGGACACCAGGTAGTGGCTAAGCGGCTGGCCCATATCCTGGTAGACGCGGCGGTGTGCCAGGCTGAAGGCACTGCCGTCAGCTGACAGTAAGTACATGAGGAAGCCATCCTTGGTCATCTGCCGCTGCGCCTTGGCTGGGAGGGAGGAGGCCACTGCCAATCAGAGCCAGCCTCCAGCTGCCCACCCATCTGGACAGAGGAGCCCTCTGAACCCGCTTGCCTGCCTGTCCTGAGCCAGTCTTCCAGAGCTCTTGGAATTAGGATAAGTCTGAGGCTCTCGACTAGACTGTGGCTACTCCAGAGTGGGGCCCCATCTCCTCCTCCTCCCCTGTCTGCACACTCTAAGACCTCTGAGGACAGGGCGTCATCTCCCCGTTCTCTGTACCCCCAGACTGGAACCCCCTCCAGAGCAGGGCCCCATCTTCTCTGCTCTATCACATCTCAAAGCTGGCCCAGAATGAGCACAAAAAAGGAAGCAGGAGTAGCATCTGCTTTTCAGCCATCTCTCTGGTTTCTTGAAGAAGAGGCTCTCAAAGCCCCCTGAAGGAAGTGCTAAGAGGGAAACAGGACCAGGGAAGGGCAGGGATGCCGCAGCCCTGTCTCTCATCTGCCAGCTTTCATGGGACTGGAAAGTGCTGAGCAGGGGCACGGGGCTGGCTGAGGCAGCCCCTTCCCTCCAGCTCCCTTCTTGCTGCAGTCTCCCCAGGGGTCTCCCGGCCAGTGCGGTACTGGGACTGCAGGTGGCAGGCCCTGGTCAGGCTCTCACCAGTCTCGCTGGGCTCGTAGCGCTCAATGAGGGAGAGGGCCAGCGCAGGCCCTGCGGCCTCCTCCCGCTGCTGGTGCTGCAGGAACGTCACTAACTGATCCACCGACAGAGTCTCCCCTGAGCCCGCGGCCTCGGCGAAGGTGCGGTCGATCTCCACCCGCTGGGTCAGCATCTTGTAGAAGGCCTCAATCTCCTCGTCCTCCAGGGAGTCTGTCTGGGAGCGGTCACACTCCTACAGAGCCAGGACAGCCGGGTGGGCTCAGAGCAGGCCTTGGGCCGGGGTCAAGGGCCCCATGGACAGGCAGCCCCAGCCCCCACTTCCTGCCTCACCCGGAAGATCTTCCGGGCATAGCTGTCGTCCACCTGGATGTTGAGCTCCTTCAGGAAGTTCTGCAGCTCCTTGAAGCTCATCTTATTGTCCTTGTTCTTGTCAGCTTTTCGCAAGCAGGAGTGAATCCAGCTGGGCAAGAAGTAAGGAAAGAACCCAGGAGTCCTGGAACCCACCAAGGTCCCAGCCAGAGCCATGGATGACTCCAGCTGAAGCCA